AATACCCATAGAATATAATCTGCAAATTCAAACAAAATGAATCATTGCGTGAAGTCGCAACATTTGTTTTTTGAGTTTCAGAAGTTCGAAAATATGTCTTTCACCAGTATCTACCATATTCGAATAGAAATAGATTTATTTGAAATATATATCCTAATATATATTAACACGTATTTTCAAATCAGAGTCCATCATCAATGCGATTGCAAGAGACAAACATAATGTTTGTGGATATCAAATCTTGAGGTATAGTTTATGAAAAAACAAAATTAGTACTTATCATAAAAACTAGCTGCACCTCACTGTCTTTTTCATTGATCGTGCGGATTTTTCTTCTTCGCTGATATAAAAAATATTCTTACACCGTTCACCTAGTCATGTGCTTTTAAAAGCAATTCAAACGTCAGTTCCAATGCAATCTTATCTCTATCAATTATAAACTTCGTCACTCAGAACAGCTTAAATGAATTCAAGTGGAAAAGTATATCTCTCACCGATGCTCTTAATGTTATTTATATGGATGACTGAGTTGAAACTCATAAACAAAATCGATGAATTGATTAGCAGTTGTAATGGAGCAGAGAGAACTATTTTCACCAGTCCGGCTGAACAGATTATTATAATTGAATCAACTTCATTAGCAACATCTGGTGTTATTGGAAATGAAAAATATCAATTTAACAAATATAATAATAATTTATTTACTNACTGTTAAAAAAAGTCCCTCTTCAAACAACTACTTTCATATAAACATCGAATTACACACTTTTGAAACAACTACCCTCATATGAACATTGGATTATACGAAGAACAGTTTTTCCTATTCAATTTGTACTCCAAACATCCGTCATGGGATTAAAACAGATATCATTCACAGAATTGCTACACAATATAGTATATGAAAGAGGTAAAATTTCACTTAAATGAAACACTGTCATCCTCAATGGTGGATATCCGGTCTTTCGGAATGAGACACTTGTCTTATTGCCGTTTTAGCACCAATCTGGATAATATTACAAGACGAAGCACACAACTCATTGATGAAATTATGACTTCATGTCATGAATGAGTTAAATTTACTCATGTCATGACACTACGTATTGACATTCATTCACTTATTCGATTCAATCCCAGGCATAGGAATTTTGTTAATTATTAGGAAAGAAAGGTTTTGGTTTTCTACTTCTCCATATTCATACATAAAAATGTGTAAATTTTTCAATGGAAAGAAGAATGTAGACAATTTTAAAATAAACTCTATACATAGATGTGATATTTCTGCAAAGGAGTAACTTTCTGACTTAAACTTTTCTTTTTTCAAGAATGTAGAGGTAGAAAGCCATAACATTTTTTCACATGACACTGTTTTATTGGCTACATACTAATTTCGAATAATTTAATAGTTCTTCCTAAGATGTCGACGATTTCATATATTCCTCTACCTCATTCTGAGCCTGAAAACTTTCAGAAATATCGTTTGAAAAATACTGAGACTTCGAGATATAACTTTCTTCCTTATAGTCAATGGACATACCTCTGATGATGTCTGCCACGGTAGCTGACGAAACATTTGCTACTTCAGGTTCCATTTGACTACGGCTTATCAGTCCAGATTTCTTTCTCTTCAATCATGACTTCAGTCGTGAAAGCCTATTTTCCATGGATGTATGAGAGGATACCTATATTGTCTATCTGGAATCAGTTCGACTAGTTTTGTTCAGTTCCTATGAACATTACCGGTATATTATTAAGAAATCTTTATGAATTTCAATCAGTACCAAGGAAAATTACATTTATAATCATTTTTAGTCTATTGAAAAACATTGAAATAGAAATTCTGTCTATCAAACCACATTTTGCTAACCAAGTAAGTTAATCTCACGATTGTGTTGATATTTTTATATATATTTGGACAAATCAATATATCCAATCAAGAGTACTTTCCAACTTATTGTGTTATTGTAGTATTCACATATTCACTCAGGTCACGCTCCGTCCAACGATTTTATTATATTTTCAACTAATCATAACCTTAGATTGCTTGAGAGACTGCTACATAGGACATTCCGAATGATTTTTTAGTTTTCAGTACATTATTCAATGCAACCATTTAACATAAAAAAATTTAATTACTTATTTTAACTGTTGTGAACAATGGTCGAAACTGTTAGCGATATATCTAAAAGTGCTAATATTTTTACAGTAAACCACATATTTCAAATCCTTGGCCATTTAATCAAAACAAGAATATCTGGAAGTGATGACTCTTCGTTATTTTCAATTTCCAAAGTGAACTTCATATTTAGGGATCTGTTTTTGAGACAAGACTCCCATACCTTACTTCCATTCGTGTCGACAATAGCAAAAGCATCATCTGCATATAGGATCCAAGTTCGTGGGAAGTAGACTTACTCTTCTCCTTTCCTCGTGCATCTTGTAAAAACAGTAGGCGTTATGAAAGCATGTAAGACCAGGAAATTTACGGGGAGGTCAGTTGGAGTCGTAAACTCAACATCCATCTCCTCTGTAGACTCGCTCGTGATCTAAATTTATAGGGAGGTCTGTTGGAGTCGTAAGCTCGACATCCATCTCCTCTATAGACTCAGCGTCAGAGAGAATTTTTGAGTTAACTCTGTCCATAAAAGTCCCACGAGTAGCTAGGGAAAGAAGGTCAATCACGGCAAAGCCCCGCATTACCGTGACAAGGCGATTCTACGAGAGGGCGCCCGGTATCTCGAAGGTTCCGTAGAGACAGCTGATACACTTAGTGTCATTCATCCTCTCGGCACGGATACACACAAATTAGGATTGAGTCATTCAGTTAGGGGATAACAGAACCACAAGTGATTCTGTCATTCCCGTATCTAGCGGGGATGCGTGGAAGCAGGCATCCGATGCCGGATATAAAAATGTTAGGACCGACAATTCTGGTTTCTGCTTCGATGAGTTTGTTGCGGGTTGAAATGGACACCAATAAGTCTTGGGATAATTATGTCGCTGGAATTGCGAAGGCTGCTTCTCAAAAGCTTGGAATACTGTTCCAAACCGCCTAGAAATTTGTTTGTTTTTTGAGTGCTCCCAAAGTATTCTAGTGTTTTTGATGACTCAATTCTATATTTCCAAAGATAACACTGTTGGAGATAGGGTTAGAAATAAACCAAAAAGCTACATACTGATACAGGTACCTTTCCGGTACTTGTACCTGTGAATGTCCAATTATGAATCCCAAGAAGACAGAGATGGTCTTTTTCACCAGGAAAAGTTGTTTATCGGGCTCAAAATCTCCCGAAATCTTCAAAAGCAAACTAAACTGAAGAGGTAAAATACCTTGGTACTATCTTCGACATAGCATATGTGGCTTATGAGCAATGTTGGAGAACAGTGGGACGCGCATGGGATCTTTCACCCCGTGTGGTTACCTGGATCTTCACTGCAACAATAAGACCTAAGTTAACGTACGGAGCCAATAATGGGGACCGAAAGTTTTACAAGCAACGGCCATCCAAAAATTATATCAAATTCAGCGATTGGCTTGTTCAAACATCACAATAGCCATGAGAACAACATCAACTTTGGCAATGGAATCAATTACTGGTCTGACCCCTCTGGACATGTACGTTAAAGAGGTTGCGTTAATGGCCATGTTACGATTGCACACGGCTGGTGTGAACTTCGAAGTAGGAATGGGTCAATTGAGGCTGAGCCTATGGCGAGAAGCGCTTACTGCTCAATCTCTGCTGCCGGCAACCAAGGATGCAATTGAACCCAGGTCTGTGTTTAATAAACCGTACAAAATACAAATAAAACAGAACACTGAGCCAGGTGAGGTGCTACAAATGCAATACGCATTTATGTAGACGGTTCAAAAACCAAAGAAGGCTTAGGATCTGCAGTGTATTCCAGATCACTAAGCCTGAGGATTGAGTGGGGAATGGAAAAAAATACCAGCATGGTTCAAACAGAACTGGCTAGTATCTCAATCGACACAAAAGAAATACCCAGGAAAGGAATTTCTGGCAAAAACATAACAATCTGCACTGATAGCAGACAAGCCCTATTAGTCTTGAACAGACAACGTGTTACTTCAGGGCTAGTACTGGAGTGCCATCAAGATTCAACCAAAGTCTCGGTAGATGATAACATTATCCTGAGGTGGATTAAAGGGCAGGAGTAAAGGTAATCGCATTGCCGACACTTTAGCCAAGGAAGCGGCTGGACTAAGAATTTTAGGACCCAGTGGCATCTACGACCTGATGACTTCTACAATTGTGGAACCAGCCAAACGTTACACCCATGCTCAATCCCTAAAGAGATGGGATGAAATCAAAGCATGCAATCTTGCCAGGATCACTCTTGGCGACCCTGTGAAGATGGCGCCGAAGAAATATCTGGCGATGACCAGGAAAAATTTACGCTCAACTGTAGGATTTCTGACTGGCCATTGTCAATTAAGGAAACACCTTCACAATATGGGGCTAGTGGACACACCTCTATGCAGGAAGATGAAACAGGAAGATGAAACTGTCAGGCGTGTCCTATGCGAATGTTCGGAGTTATCGTCAATAAGAGAGTGTGTGTTCGGTGAGTCTCAGCCTACAGGAGATGTCTCCCAGATACCTGTCCACCTTCCTGAAAAGGACAGGATGGACGATGACCTAGGAGGACAACTCCTTGGGAGGATGTACAATGGGTCACATGTGGCCTAAGTGCTGTGGGCCTACACTCCCTCTTCCTACTCTACAGATACAGAGATATCCAATTATACGATAAATAAGGATCATTACCAACATGATCATCAGTGTTATATTGTTATCAGACTCCAAACACTTGGGGTGAAAATAGAAACTTTATCAAAAAATAAATGTATCGTAACGGATATCCAGTTGAACGTCAGAACGAAATCTATAAAACGCTGTCGAATTGAATGAACACACAGTAAACAACGACAATAACTGAATCAATCGATAGAGAAACAAAAAAAAATATTCAAAACCTTGTACATGAATCGTCTGTGTGAAAGACAAGCCCATATTTTTGAAGACAAAAACACACAAATAGCTTTTGGAAATGAAAACACCATCCAGAAAGTAACTTCCAACCTCAAAACCGTCACTCCATCAGAATTGCAATCTGATACATCATGTCAGGATTGTGATGCAACGTACATAGCGCAAACAAAACGTGATCTCAAGAGACGAATTGTCGAACACCAAAGAGGTACAGTATCAATTGAATTGAAACAGTTTATAATGATCTCCGACCTTCTCACCATCAGTTTCACCCTCAAATAGTGAATAAAATAAACCGGTGATTAGATGTAAAAAAAATATTGAAATAGAGATAAACGATGACGAGAATGAGAAAAGTAAGAAAAAGGTTTGAAAACTGATCAATTTATAGTATCCACTATCATTTTCGTTGATAACTGACCTAGTCCTGGTACTTCCCTTTCTTTTCTCCTTTCATTTTTTCGGTTCAGTGCACCATAGAGTGTGGTACCAAAAATTTACGACCTCAAGATAGCAGTACTAGTAAATAAAGGCTAGTGAATTTCATTTTCATCTGTTGACAGTTACTCACCAGAGTTTCGGTTGTTATATAACAGTCTTTTAAGTGAGTTGATGTGAATGATTTTATGAAAATGGACAAAATCGAGTGTCGAGATATCATTAAATATTTGTTTTTGAAAGGCAATAAGTCTACGTTAATCAAAGATGAGTTGGATTATTTGTATGGGGCACACCTGAGCGGGTGCCAGGGCTAAAATCCACAAATTACGGTTTGAACTGCTTGACCATCCGCCTTACTCACCAGATCTATCCCCAAGCGATTTTTTATTCCCTCATCTGAAAACTGCACTCGGAGGACAGATATGTTCGTCAAATGAAAGGCAATCACAATTTTGAACAATTATTTTGCATAGAAAAACTCTGAGTACTATTTGGGTTACATAGATTGGAGCATCGCTGAAAGAAGTGTGTAGAGTTGAAAGGAGAATATGTTGGAAAATAAAAAAAAATCTTTTATCTTTGTGAGCTCAGGAACTTTTCATACCACAAGTTTTTCATACTTTTCTTCTCTTCACACTAGCTTGACTGAATTCATTGTTTTTCAATATATACACAGCTTTCGAATTTGTTTTCCAACCGATGTTTCGCCCTATGGATGGTCAAAATATGTAGTGTCATTTCCGATTTACTGGTTTATTCTCGGTGATGTTTTTCTGGTGCTTTCCAATTCAGACTTTCAACTGCCTATTTGTTTCACCAATATAATATATGACTTGCCACTTTCATCTGGTATTCTGTATTGAAGTTTTTCGTCTGTATTTGATGACTTGGTTCTTGTGAGGCTGCTACAAATGATATACTTGGAGTGCGATGACTCTACTTGTGGCGGTTACTCTTTCTCACAGGTTCCTTGTTTTCGTATGGCCAAGGTCTATCCTTTCAGGTTTTTGAAGTAACCATTTTGTGTTACAGAGATTGATGCACGGCTAGTTGAAGTTTCAACAATTCCTCTCTTGGTAGATTGGTGGTGGTTGGATTCGTATTTCAGGAAATGTCTTGTGTAAGTTGGTGGTTGCTTGTACATACGAGTTTTCCGATTGTTGTCGTTGCTCTTCACCAATACGTAAAGAAATTGTATTCAGTGACTTCTTTCTTCAATGTGAATGTTATTAGAAATGTTACGTTCTTGAGGTGCTGCAAAAAGTCGTCCAGATCCGTATCTCCATAGTTCCAGAAACTTTCATTTGACAGAACTCGATCAGAGAAGAACTAGGCATCGTATTTCAGATTCTGAAAAACATTTTTCTGCGCGACATTTCTCGCAACAATTCGCAGAGGGAAACAAAAAACGATATCCATTTCTGAATTTTCAAATCAACGAGTTTCTGAGAATAAAGTAAGTTCACTCTTGGTCGGCTTGACAGCTCCTTTCTGGAACTTTCGTTTTCATTTTGAATTTCAGAAGAATCACATGAAAATTATTTGAATTGAAACTCAAAATACGGGGTGTGAAGTCGAGACTATTACTTTTTCACTATTTCCTGTACTTCATCTCATGTTAGCATAACTTGCAACTATTCTGCTTCATGGTATCATCAATAATTATGATTTTCATGTTTTCATTTCATTTTTATCTCTGATTTTTTTCTCACCTGCTTTCATTTACCTCACCTAATAATATCTACTTACTTCTCATTATGGGCTTTTTATTTTTTTTAATATTCAATCTTATCTTCGGAAAAGATCATTTATGCTATTTTGATGAATTCTCAAGATATAACCCGATTCTCTTTTTTTCTACACTCAACCATTTAAATTCTTGTTCGATACAGGTTTGAAAAAATCCGAGTTGTATAGTTATATTGCTGTAGACATGATGAACACCATATATTTGGAATACCGCCCGAAGAAACCTATGTAATCGATAGATCGTTATCTATCAGCTATCGGAATAAGAATAAATCAGCCGGCGCTAATGATTTAGCGCCTCCCACAATCTCGAGCCGTCACTCAAATCGCACGAAGATCGCCAATTAATCTGTGGTTGCGTGACTTTATGTACCCACATTCACTCATCACGATCTGTGTTCATGTTTTTCCCACCTACCTGCACTTTGGAAGTCTCAAGAAGGTGATACTATACAGGATATCATACAGCACAATCAACAGCCTACTGAGTAGTGGAAGACTATCATTTTTGTATTCCTCAAGGTACAGTGTTGGGCCCAAATCAATTTGAATTCACCTGAAAAACGAAATAAGTTTGAAATATATAAAATTATCGTCTAAAAGATCTGTGAGAAATATCTGAACTGGAAACCAGTTCACTTGAAAAGGCTACTGTGCTGACGAAACATATGATATATTTTTCAAATAAAGTTTGAGGAGATCAAATCGTGTGGTGAAGTTTTTGGAACAGATAATATACGATGTATATTATCTGGAGTTACCCCATTTTGTCGACCACTGCTATGTTCGTCTTGGCAGCTCGTACGGTCTCGTACCCCAACAAACGATAAACACGTTGCTTCGTATTAGGGAGGCTAGGACGATGCCCAAACATAGTACATAGTGCTAGATTAATTCAGAAATCAATTGATATGAAATAATAGCTGCTACATCGGATGACATGAAGATATTTTTGAAATAATTGATTCATTCAAGATGGGAAGTGTATTGGAGACTAGCTCTAAGATGAAAAGTAAAATCATCTCTGATAACATGTAAATTTTCACGTTACTTGTCAAGAAGAGAACAAGTGATAACGTGGCTCACCCATAGTTACCATGGATTACTTTAATGAAACGAATAACACTTTTGTCTAATTTCCAGTAGTTATTACATCTTTACAACCGGTTTCGGGTTTACCCCTTCATCAATTATAAAACTAACATGTGAAATCTGAAAACTCGAATAAATCGGGAGTTTTTAGGTGAGCTAGAAGGAGAGGTAGTTGAATGAACAAGGGTGCCCTATAAAATTCAACACTGAAGTTTATAGGAGTTGTTAAACTTATAAATTCAAGAGTGGTATCTTCTGTAATTCATTTTCATTTTCAAATGTATCTTTGTATTGTTTCTCAGTATTTTCGATAAAGTCGATTTATTATTATTATTATACCGTAGTTGGCACTGATCAGACCCTATCCCTCGAAGCCCCGATACACTCGGGAGGGCGCGCCAGCATTATCAACCAATGACCACTCCCCACACCGTGGAGTAAGTGATCATTGGGCCCAATAATCATCTGCACTCAACAAGCGCAGTTAACCGAGAATGACAGCCTTCTGCATCTGTCCAGATAAGATTTCTGCCTTAGTGCGGCAAGCACGGATTAGAGAGTAAAGAGGACATCATTCCACCAAGGACTTCAATAATCAGAACAACCATTTCGACAGAGTGGTCTGGATAGAGTCTGCGGAGTTCGAAGAGGAGATCTCGATATTTTATCCGTTTTTCCCCTCTATTCGGACGATATTCGTCTCGTCAAGAGCTGATAACTCCACGACCAATATCGTTTTGCTCTGGTGGTCGAGAAGGGCTACATCAGGCTTATTAGCTTGTATGAGCCTGAGAGTGGGGAACGAATAGTTCCAATAAATTCGGCACTTCTCGTTTCCCACAACTGATTCAATATCCCCCGGAGCGTAGGGTAACACCGGTGTCTCGTCAATACCGTAAGAGTGCCGTAGATGGTAATTTAGCACTCTTAGGGCTGCGTTATGTCGATTGATAAGGCCGAAACCGCATATGCTGGACATGCTGATAACAAGTGCATTAGGGTCTCGGACGTCTCGCGTTAAAGTTCATGCAATTTAATTGGGCAAATACTTCTGAATTCAGAAGTGAATGTAATATGAGTAACACTTTTTTAATACATCCGTGTAATTCTTCCTAATTTCTATTGCAGGTTCCCGCGAAGCAGCTTTCACTTACGCCATTAGCAGTGCCGGAGTGGCCTATTCGGTAACAGCGGCGTGTGCCCGGGGGAACATTTCTGCATGTGGTTGCGATCCCGGTCCCAGGCCGAGGGAACCGGCGCCTTCCGGGTGGAAGTGGGGTGGTTGCAGTGTCGACGTCAACTTCGGCGTCAAATTCGCCAGAAAGTTTCTGGACGCCAGGGAGTTGGAGGGAGATGAGAGGAGTCTGATGAATTTGCATAATAATAAGGCTGGGCGGAAGGTGAGGTATTATTTACGTTTTGCTTGTAATTCAGTTGTCAATTCAAATTTCATAACATGGCGCAGTTAGTAGGATATATCTAAAATATTTGTTTGAACCTCAACTGATTTTTATTGAAGTGGCCCTATAAGTAGGGTGTTGAAACTTGAAGCAAACATTTCGAAGCTTCATTCGTGACTTTTCCATGAAGGTTGAATAAACCTCATTTTTTTATGACGTCAATTATATGACCGTTTTTTGCTCTTCAAGTATGCGATGATTTATTGCATTTCGCAACACTTTTGTAACAAATACATTTGAACAGAATTACTTTTGAAGCAATTTCATTATTTTACAGTTGCATTTGAATGATCAACATTCACAAGCCTGTAAGCCTGTAAAATTCACCTACGTTTAATTTCTTCTGTGATAACCTACTCGATAATTGAGTTGACATTTTCTTTCGAAAAACTAAGTTTCTAATGAAACAAAAATGAAAACATGAATTTGAAAAAACAGTGTACCCCAGTGGAAATTCATAATGTTGCGTAAAAATTAGTATTTTTTAAAACTTTGTCACTCATTAGCAAAGTTAGAGTTTGTTCAACTTTGGGTTTGTAAATCAACGGTCCCAGTTCAAATCGTATCAACTGCAATTTTTAATGTTTTCAACCACTCACTCAATAAGTATTTTACTCCTGGGAAATAATCAACAATGCTCGCTTTCGGCAGTCGACAAACTTCATTTTCAAGGATAATAACAATATTTGTCACTCGTTGGATGCGAGTTTTTATAAAAAGTCTAAATGAAAAAAATATTTGATTTCGGTTCTATTTTGCTTTTTATTTTTTCATCCCAATAATTGAAAATATTCATTTATACTTTGTCTTCTACTCTCTCATTTCTAAAATATTGCTATTAATTTTTTTATCTTTTTCAGAACGTAATTTTTTGAATTTCAAGTACAACACCATGTATAATTGAACATTCTTGAATTTCTGATAAAATTATGGTCATGATCGGTCGTAAATTAATATAAGGACCTCATCTGATGTCAGAAATATTCCACTTCATAGGTTACACATTTATTGAAAATTCAAAACCTGTAATGAAACGCAGAAAAATGTATCGTGAGAATCATAAAATATTTCAATTTTTTGTCATTGAATCTTTTTTTTTTTAATTTAATTTTCGGTTGCACGGAATATAGCTTCGATTTTGAATTTTAAAAACAACATCCTGTATTTTGCAACATTCTCGAATTTCCGAGACAATTCTGGAATATAGTGTAAAATTTTCATATTTTACGCCTATTTAATTTGATTCAATGATGTTGCATAATATGTGGCCATGATCGGTAGTAAAGTAATCTAAGGACCTCAAATGATGTCAGAGTTGTTCCACTTACAGATTTATTGAAAACTTAGTACCTGGAAGGAAACACCAAAAAATGTATAGTGAGAATTTTGAAATATTTCAATGACCAAAGATGAAATCCAGGAAGTTTTGTGAGTATGAATAAAATTCAGATGAGATTGTCAACAGCATTCCTCATATATTTAGTCTCTTCGTTTGACAATTCCGAGATTGTTAGAACTCAAAATTGCTATGAATAACGAAACAACTTTAGTTCTCACATTTTTCATAAAGAATCGCAACAATTTGCCTTCGGGTGAATTTCTGAAAAAATAGCCCAGGAAAAATAGTTGACATGAAAAAGTATTTCACAAATAACAAGTACCTGGCCTAGAGATGGCGGTATTTATTTGGAAAATATCACTGTTGAATAGAACTGGCCGATACTTGATGAAAATCCATCTTAAAAAACTAATCAATAGATTCTATTTTATGATTTTCACTATAAGGTTTTTACAAAAACCGCGACACGTGTTTCGCTATACAATAGCTTCTTCAAGCATAACTGGTTATGCTTGGTTCAAGCATAACTTCTTCCTCTTTGAAGATATTCACTTGGTGATCGAAACACGTGTTGAGGTGTTGATAATAACGATTTGGTGTTGGGAAAAAACTCCAGTAATATTCATTACCACACCGAAGGTTCCAAACAGTGCATCATAAGTATATTATTGGACGAATTCACATAGAAACTGAATTGAGAAAGACCATAATAACATACTGAGTCAATGAAAAGGTTAGAATTCACATCAGTAACGTTCAAAAGGATACAATTTTTGTTCACATTGTCGGGATGCCATGGGATATTCGTAAGGTTAAAATCCCCACAAATAACGAAAGTGTCATTGGCTTTATTACTGACAATGTCAGCAAACTTAGCGCAGAAAATAGTTAGTGATTCGGAGAAGTTAGGACCTGAAGGAATATAAACACTGCTCAGGTTCAATTTACTAGAAGAAGCTTTTGTATGATTTACCGTGATCCATAGGTCTTCCACATGGGTCATTCATTCCTATTCATTTCTATCAGCACGCCGCCGCCGTCACAAGCAGAATGCATCATCACAATGTCTTCCCTATCACGTCAAAAAACGTTATATGTATACATAATACCTCGGAGGAGTTGATAGAACTATTCAACCACGTCTCTGTTAGACATATTATGTCATATTCGAGATTTAATGAATTTTTTAAAGTAACTGATAATTTTGGTTTCAAGCCACGTACGTTCTGGTGGAAAGTGAATAAGTTCAGCAAGAGAAGAAAAGTAAATAGTAAATACCATTTGATTGATTTAGAGACTAGTTTATTTTCCTTATATCGTCTCTATCATAAATTTCTGTAGCTCTGCTAGTATCATTTTTCTGACAAGAATATGTCCTTCTCGTACCCAGACATATTTGAAATTGAATTTTTTTGCCGCGTCTTTGCATTTCTTCAACAGTGTTTTGGTGTGGTTTGTTGAATGCTCGTTGATGAACAACTGGTTGGAGATGTTATCTATCTTTAGTCCTGGGGCTGAGTTACCGGACGAGCGAAGCTGCGCTCGGTTTTTTGTAATGGCTGTTAAAATGCCGTCTTTTTTCTTTTTGAGTGCTAGTTGTGAGATTATAGGTTTGATTTTGTTTGGTATACATGTGTTTGCTCTGAAAATATGGTCGATGTCTGAGTAAGTGATTCTTCTAACAATACTCAGTAAATTTTCGCCGGTTTTTTCTGGAATGCTATGGATTTTCAAATTTTTAGAACGGGCTTTTGTTGCTCTAAGGCTTCTACCCGGCTACTCAGTGTCTGGATTTGTTTTCAAGCAGGCGTTTTCCTTAGCAATTTTTTTCATGCTGTCCATTCTGCTATTTATCTATTTGATAATTCTTTCAAAATCCGAAATGTGATCACTGCAGAACTGAACGGCTATCATGACCTCTTCATTTTGTTTCTTTATATCTTGCATCTCGGGTTGTATGTTCTAAAGTATTTTCAACGTGAGTGAAGGATCTTTAGCTCGGGATGCCTCCTGTTCTTCTTCATCTGGAATTATATACTATAGACGAGTTTTCCAGGATCAGCTGAGGATCGGCAGTCAAGACAGATCCATACCGCGCCCGGCAAGCGGAAGTTATGAAGCATCTGCTTAGTTAATCCAACACATTTTTCATGGTAATGATGTAGACTGCCGCCACACATTAAACCGGGCGTTTTAGTTGTTATCGGCGAGGTACAGGTGTTACAGATCATGTTTCAGCTCGCCGACTAACGGTCAGTCCACGAAGATTGATTTTTATCACTTAAAACTTTTCATGTCTCTGTATTGTCTCTGAGTTTTAATTTCTCGAATATTAATTTTCAATTATGATTGAATGCACTGGAATATTAGATGACAGGTGAACACTATACTTGATTCTGCCTCCGCAAAATAACTAGTCCCTGGCAAAAAAAATCAAAATTTTTGGGTATTATTTGTAACCCCCAACCCTAATTATGAGATGACTATGTGTTTCTGATCAAGTGATATAATCTTCTCTAGCGGCAGGAGTAGGTATATGAACACAACCACGGCGATGGTGGCGACCCTGTATACGTCTAATATTTTCCTGGGCTATATAAATGAAATACGCAAAACCGCTGGAACAAAAGCAGTTCACAGTTTCCCATGGGTTTTTTCTCAGTGTGCGTGGCACTAATTGACAGGATCTGAATGATGGACCAGCCTCCTGCGATTGTTAGCCGAATCTCATTGATAACGATTTAAATGCACTCATCTGGCTGATACAATGGGGAATGATTTCGCGGACGGGTTATATGCTCATCGGTCACGAAAAAGTCGTGTGAATTCGCAACTGAGGATGGTGGGAGGATGATCGTATACAGGGTATTTCACTATACACTTGGAAATAATTTGTGTTCATAAAAACTACTAGCAATAAATCACTTTTATAACCTTCATAAATTATGATATTTGCTTTCAGAAGTATCAGAAATTAACAATGTTTGATGATGAATTTCATGTAATTTCAATAAACGAATTCCTGACAATGTGAGCTAGGAAGATTCAAATTGGGTAAGTGTATTCGACCCTCCATTACGACCCACGATGGTTTATTATGGGTCACTTCTATTAAAATTCGACCAAATGAAGTCAGCTTCTCAATGAAACAAATTATTTTATTTGCTGAATCATCTTTCAGATCAAATGGCAAGAGTGAAAATCTGCCAAAGTCTGAAAACGTGATTTGGTCTGCGGCGGGATAGGCCCAAAGTATATTCAATTTATGTTTCATCATCTTTTGAACAGAAATTCAGCCGATAAGATATTGTGAGAGATATCTGCTGTAATCTTACAATCGTTTACTTCGAATGATGTCCAAATGTGTGTTGAAATGGGCAATTAGGTGTTCACATGGATGAGTGTGAAGCAATGTCAGTGGCAAGTACTAGTCCGAAAAACTGCAAGTGGCGTCCTTCCTTGCTTGAAAATTTATGGCTTTAATATCTCCAGAGTGACCAAGAATCAATACCAGAAATAATTCGAGAATTGCAAATAATCTTTTCTGGCAGAATAGAACTACCAACTCAAACATTGCTCGGTAAGAGCCAAGTGTTGCCAA